GTCGTCGCGCCGCGCATGTGCGACATTTGTGTTGATAAACATTGATTTTCCCCATAATCCAATGCGCTTTTCTAATGAAATCACGAGTACGAGTTTTGCCCTGGGCACTACTTGCACTAATTACCAAACACAAAAAAATGCCTAATTAAAGCTTGGTAACCTCTAAGTTCGTACTACATGGTGTGCGCGACAGTCTAAAATCGTCATCTTTGTCTATATGTGATACATATCTCGCGCATGCGCGGCGCGAAGACTACCAATTCACATCAGTTTTAATAATATTCTGCAAGTAGAAATTGGGGAAAAGAAAAACAATTGTATAAGTGGAATTTACATTTTTAAGACTGGAAAATCTACATATTTGATAGAGTAAAGCCAAATAACAAAACAAAGATATGAGCATACTCTTATAAAAAAAATACTTTGCATAGTTTTTCTATAAAAAAAAAAAAACAACGGGAGAAAATTAGTAAATTGCCAGTCTTTTACCACGTATTATCAATGGGTTCATCATCTCCAGTGTTCAAGTTCTGTGGTAAACTCTTTAATTACATAGGTATGCGTTTCTGAGATTGAAACCGCATAATAGGTTGTACGAGAGTCGAACAGATCAAGGTCGTTCGCAGGCATTTCATGATAAGGTCGTAATTTGTTTCTTCTTTTCAAAGTGTCATATAATTATTTATATAGACACGAGTTTTCAACTTTCAGGATTTTTCATCCAGCATGACATATTCGTGGGAGACTAAGAAAACATGCGCCCTTTTTCGAAGCTATAGGAATTCATTGCGTCTACAACGGTCATTGGAGTGTCCAGGGAAGTGTCTAGTGATACTGCAAAGTCCCTCGGTAATTGCCTGCCGCGTACGGGAGTTAGGTGTATGTAAATATCTTGCACCCGCTGTAAAACATCATAAACATTTCCCAATAATTCGGGACAAATTTAAGTACCCATCTCTAGACTGCAACCTTTTTTTCACCATATATAGCAGAACGAAATTTTGTACCATGGAAATCAATAATTATTGTGAATGACGCGAAATTCACCATTATCATGGGTGCTTGGCGCATTTTTGAAGTAGTTCTGTGGCCATATACTTTTTTTACATCGGAATTGTGTAATAAATACTATAAAACAAAGCCATATGGTAAAAGTCAAGGAAATCTTGCGATAAGTTGCAATTGCAGCGAACAAACGAATTTCTGGGAAACAGTGACGACGTACTAGTAAAGGTGTGTGTGTGATAATGGAAATATTTACAATTTATGACACAGTTTGTAATCGCCACCATGATAATCAACTATAATACTATGTCGGGTGCGACTAAAAAATAAGGAATTGTGTGATAAACACTATAAAACAAAGCCATATGGCAAAAGTCAAGGAAATCTGGCGATAAGTTGTAATTGCAGCAAACAAACGAATTTCTGGGAAACAGTGACGACATAAAGATGTGTGTGTGATAATAGAAGTATTTACAATTTATGACACAGGTTTTAATCGTCGCCACGATAATCTACTAAAATACGATGTCGGATAAAAATAAGTCGTTATTTAACAATCATTGGGCTGAAAGCCAAAGCGATGCATCGAATTTATGTATTTAGATGTAGTCACGGTGACGTAAACTGATATAAAAATGTGTCAAGTTCATGCCCCACCCAAGTACAAACATTACTCATTGTTTCTACGAACTCGTTATGTAAAGCTTCAGATAAGAATATACAGTGGCCCCTCGCTAAGTCGCGGGTGTCGGGATCCAAGCAAAAACCGCGACTTATCTATCGTTTCCTGGTTGTGCTCGTCGATATCAGTTACAGAGGCCTGCGTCACAAATAATTTAACAATAACACATATACTACAATGGTTGAATAACAAACGATCTACGCTAAAAATTCGAAGTGCCTGAAAACTTATTTTTAGAAAACAATAATTATATTATATGCCAATAATCAATAACGAAATCAACCTAACATTGCACTCTGTGTATTGTCGTGACTAACGTGACCAATTAAGTTGCAATATATAATAGTACCTACATTCCACTAATTCGAATAGGACAATCAGACTATGCCAATCTACAATTAAATATAACAATATATCAGCTCTATATACACGTACCGCCACAATAACACTTTTTTGTAGTTGGACCAGTACCAGCTGCAAATGTGTCCAGGTTAAATATTGAGCCTATTGTATTTTCCGCCGGGGGACTGGAAATATTATGCCATTGAGGGCGCTGCTCAAGTTCACACCATTCGCGACCCGGACGTGGAAATATTCCACGAATCATTGTTTTGGAAGAGAAAATGTAGCTTACGTGGGGTGAATATTACACATATTGTGGCGAAATGTTCAAAGAAGGGGGATAACCATTAGGAGCTGAGCGCAGATAGATGGTAGCCTTTGGGGAGGCCGTCGAAAAAAGTTTCGGGTTAAGGATGTAGTAGACATAACAAGTATGTTATAGTTAGGCTTGATATTTTCATATAAGAATTGTCCTGAACTATAGTAAACCATATATTTTATGAAACCTCTTATCTCACACTTTCTGAAATTCTGGGTAATTTTGGGTAGAATTTAATGGTTATCACGTGACTGCTAAGTAAACAAACAAAAATGTTATTTTAAAAAAACGAGTACTGCATGAAACTGGAACTAGTTAGATGAGTAACAAACATCGTAATGATGTTAACCACAGGGTGTCCCATACAATCGGGTGACAAGATTTTTGCCCAGCGAGATGCATTTATTTCATGAGACCAGCTTGAAATGTTGGACCACGGTCACTGAATTACACTCAATTTACTTTTAGTTTATAACAAGATTTCTCGCCAACGATTATTGTTAGGATAGACAAATGCCACCAAAATAGACAATAAACAAAAAATGGATAAAATAGTGACTGTTATGTCTACTACATCCTTAAATTATTTTAGTTTGTTGAACTTTAGCATCCGATTACAGGCACATTTCCTCAATTGTTTAGCATACCGCACCGCATTCATTTTATTTAGTAATACAGTAAATGCAATAATTATCCACTGGGTTTTAATTTCGCTATTTTTGCCCAGACTGATATGTAAAATCCGCTAAATGAAATCCATGTGAGATGTTAAAGCGGGGAGTCGTCACCTGCGCATGCGTCAGACGGCCATAGCGTGTCATTGCGTCGTGTCGTCACCTGCAGCGTCAATAGTGTCATTGTTTACAAATAAGTGTCTACCCATGAGCCTTTGCGTTTTAGTGTCTGTTGTTATCGCTTGGGACTCAATTCCCGCACGTGCGCAGGTGACGACCCTCCCGCTTTAAATAACAATAAACCTTCTTATTTCCGTGGCAAATTTGTGAACACAAAACTCAGTGAATATGCTCAAAATAACAAAATAGTGAAATTAAATGTCAGTGAAAATAAATGATTTTACAATCTCCTGTATCTCCTATGCACAATGTGAGTACATTGTTAATGAAAATTGAGTATGTAATATATTAATGGAAATGGCCTCGGAGTTTGTAACTACAATACCTTTCGAATGTTTCACTGTATGTAGTATGTTAAAGCAGCGATAAAATAGAACGAGCTCTATTGCCACAGTGATAAAAGTTGTTTCCATTCTTGTTTTATTGTGTAGTGGTGTTTTTGTTTCCTCCTGTTTTAATTTCGACGACTTACAAGGGGACAAAGGACAGGTGCAATTCTGTAAACAAAGCAGGGTCGTTGTGCAAACCATGCTATACCAAGATCTGCATCCCTCCAAAATGGTTTGGCAACCGTTGGAAATAAAAATTAAAATTGTGTTCGTTTGGGGATGTAAATTTTGTAGACACATGCGCAGAAAAATAGTTTTATCATATAGCTTGGTTCTTTTTCTGAGTGCCACATTCATTTACTACATGCTTTGTAATACTAGTATTGTACAAGTGGTCCGGAACGTGGCCGTGAGTTGAAAATAGTATTACGATGAGCAATGGTTGGCGTGGAAGTTTGGAATATAACTACATACTCTATTCTATTCTACCCGGGAAAAGATATCCTAAATTTTTCCAGCGAAATAAAAAAAAAAAATGCACCCCCCCGGCAAATCACCCAAAACACAAAAGTAAAATGTACGAATTACACAGAGATGAACTGTACAATGGGAACATTGCAAAACACCCCTCCCCTTCCAGTTCCGTTCACAGTGCTGTGATGCATTTTCATACTCTCATAGGTTTGTGAAGGGACTGTGGTTTAAACCATACTTAAACAAAATCTCTCTTGTAATATGAAACGTATATTTTATATTCTGTCAATTCAGCCGTTAAAGCAAATATCAGTATCGAATCTCGATATATATTTTGCAAATAAATTATCCTTTTATAAAAACCATAATATAACAAATATTTGTAATGTAATTTGTAACAAATATTGTAAATACTAAAAATAAAGAATAATTGTAAGCGCTGAAAAAAAAAAGTTGGAGACAAAGCCTTCTAAAAACCGATTGCTATGCCAAGTATCGCAAACAAGTAGCCATTCAATCTTCCTGGCCACCCCCAGAAAATCAAGTGGTCTACTTCTGAATATGTGGCTTTCATCGCGAAAATGAGGACTAATAACTTATAACAGAGGTGGTGACCCCAAGGTGGCGATTGAGAAGTTACGGCACTATATAATCTACGTTATAATCTACGTTAAAATAAATGTGTCGCTGAGGACGACACGCTGGCTATAAATGTAGGAGTACATACGCCACCACACTACCATATTTACAGACCAGGTAAAACGTGCGTTGTATCGCAATATATACACATTAGGCAACCCATATTTACTACTATCGCTTCATTGAGATGTGTATACCTTTTGTATTGGACGAATTAGGTGTCTGGCATGGAATGCAGGACTGCTTCAAGGCAGATGGGGTCAACCTTGAAAGGTGGGGTAACACTATACATGCGCGTAAATTTGCATTAGTGTCGTTTTCAAGTATTTGCATCTCAATAGACAGCAGTAAAAAGTGAATACATTTACGTGTATGTGAGTTGGTTGTTGACACCGGACGTCTTTTCCCACCTACAAGTCACTGAAGGGCTAACTTTTATTTCGTAGCTGTTTGGAAACTTTATGATTAGCGCAGACGACGTCTCAGACACCATAGTCCGTTATTAAAGAAGACTTTACGCCACACTGGTAAGTCAGATGTAGTTTGGAGTCATTGTTGTTGGACAGTGAGAGCATTTTTCACTGGTGTTTCCAACCCAAGCATAACGGGATACGCCCTGGTTGAATTCGCCCAGTTGTTACCCTTGCTCGAGAAACGAGCCTGTGGTAAAGGGGATTTATGTTGTTTTGAAAAGGTGATTGCGAGTTTGTGGCCTCCGAACGTTTCACTTATACACGATTGTATGTGCCGGTCGTAAACGCCAATCGAAGTAGTGTAACAAAGGAATATAATGAACTAGGAATTCCTTCTATACTGAATTGTTAGCATTCCTTCTTTGCGTGTCACAAATGGAAAAACCAAAAGGTGTGGCCTTCCCTTGGAAAGAAAGTATAAATCAACACTACTACAACTGTACAAGGCGGGGTCCAGATTTTATTAAATACTAGCCGCGTACTGTCGGGGAAAATTATGATAAGTCACGTACCTATCATGTCCGAAGGCACTTATCTGGGATTATTTAAGGCGCAATAGTGATCGATGATATCGTAGCACGTTCTCGAACCAAGCAGCGATTCTTGCACGTACACCGTGGGGACATGAAAAAACAAATGGACATGCCTGTCGAAATATTTCACTTGCTTTCCACGTCGACAAGCTAATCATGAGTATCAATTTTTCTAGCCCTGAGTACAGTCCTGTAGGTTGGCCTCCTTCCGCTGATCATTCGGCGCTGAATGATCAGGCCGACCTACAGGACTGTACTCAGGGCTACATTTTTTCGTGACCCCTCGGCGTAAAGAGTAGTTGTATGTTGCTGCATGATACGTATACACTGTGACACAGGCCGGAGCAAAAGTACTGGTCTGGACCGTGGGCTCCGTAAAAATATAGGAAGTATATGCCCATTCACACACCCTACACGCTACAAACGTGTAAAACCAATTCAACAGGTTGTATCACATGTCTTAAGCCGGCATTTATTAAAAATAATAGCCTGGTTTATAGCAAATATGTCCGATGAATTAGGTGATGTAGCTAACAATAAAGGGGGCATACCTCCGTGTTTATGTAATATGTACCCCTATTAACATTACAGGTGACGTTACTTAAGGAATGTCTATGACCTTCTTGTGAAATTGTTCACAGGTATATCCAGGTATTGCTCGTACAGATAAATTAATTAATTATATCAGTGCATCGATTTCGGGTAACGGCGGCCAGCCAATCAGAGTATCCCGCTTGAAACCATTGCCTTAATTAGAAGTCCAAGTTCGTGAACTGGCAAACATGCCGTGTTGAGTGCTTCATTCTTTTGTTGTTCAGTTGGGTATACATTTCGAACATATGGTTTCTCTTGTTTGGGTGAAGACATCGTGGATACATAAACACGTGGCAACAATGCACTTAGTGTTCATGCTCCAGGGGAGAGGCGTGTACACAATATTGAAAAGCAGATATGTGAAAACTAATATGGGAATTGACCACACAATCATGTGATGCTGACTGTTTTGTGTCATTTTTTCATTGATTTTATAGGTCACGTGGTTAAACATGGCGAAAAGTAAAACCAAGAAGAGTAAAAATGGCAAAGTGGTCAAAAATGGTTCGACAAACAAAGAGCAGCCGGGCAACAGAGAGGACTTCTGTTGTCAAATCACCAGAACCGAAATTCTGTCAGAGATGGAAGAGATAGATGATCTAAAAATGGTGGGACGCGTCATGGAACACAACGGAACCTTTATTAGGCGACCTCGACCTGAGAGAAAAGACGCAATGACTATGACGTCGTGTGATGTTGGTACTCAAATAAAAAAGGACATGCTTGTTGAAATCCGACGAGAATTGGACCAACATGGCCAGAGCACCGAGGGACCGACAGTTGTTGCGTTCAAACCTGGACGAAGGCGACCACCTATAAAACGACCCAAACGATCCATCAAAACACAGACGTCTCGAGATTTCAGTTGCCAGGCGACGGCGGAGGGCATCCGCACATCCTTCCACGAAGACATGATAGAAGAAGAAGAAGCGCCCTCGCGATGGGAAGAGAAACAAGTGGACACCACGCTGTCTACGTTCCATCAGACGTCGGAGGAGGCTGAAACAGTAACCGTGGTAACGACGACGACAACAACAACTACAACTGTGCAGCAAGAAGATGGAATAAGGGAGGAGTGGAAGTTGGAGATTGTAGATGATGATGGGTTACAAGCAACCCCGGTCAGCAACGAGGACATGCTACTTCTTGAGCATTCTAATGTCGGGGTTACCATAGTTACAACGGAAGTCGATGAAGGAGTAGACAATCCTAGCTTTGAACAAGTTGAAACGAATGACCTGGGCGTCGTTGTGGATGCTGACACCGAGAGTGACGAAGATGACACGTATTTGTAACACGTAAATGGGAACACTAATAAGCGCTGGTTTCCTGTTAAAACTTAATTATAAAACTCCACCACACGCCCTCCAGCTTATTCCTCGTGAAGTTGTTACCCCCAGCTAAACTGTTTGATTACACTGCTATAATTTTTCACGATACTAGAATTGTATAGCAGACGTGAAGACAACATTTCGCGATTGTCACGGATACTCTTCGTCTGACGTGTAGGCGTGAGTAGCGCCCTCTCCGACCGAACGGCATCATACCTCACAATGTTCGGTTTGGAGCTCCGCGGAGGGCGCAAATCACGCGACCTCATCAGGCTATGATACTTCATGTCGTGGGATATTTACTGCTAGAATTTTCCAAAGACTCGTGAAAGTCGCGAAAGTTTGTCTCTCGTGAGATTACACCAATTCACGGTCGCCATAATCTCGGATCTGTGTATCGCTGAAAGTTACAGTAGTACCTGCCAAAGTCGATCCTTTCAAACTACTGGTGTTTTTGTTATACGAACATCCCTCAATACAATAATGGATTCTAATCTATTGTTCCGCCTGGGGTCTACAATATAACATATCATTAGCATACATTATCACGTACGGTAATGAGATGTCATCCCGGTGACGTCATCAATATTCCTTTTTTTTAATGTATATTACACAGGAAGTTTCCACGTTTTTTTTCTACTTTTTTAGGGGGGTCATAAATGTAAGGTCAACGAGCAATGCAACCTTTTTAATCGAGAGGTAATGTGTTTAACATAATAACATTTAGGAAGATATGCAATTATAAATTGTAATTTTTCACAGTTTGAAATAAGTAGTGCTATCTGTTCCGAAATAAAACCCACAATTCAACAGTCGAGAGCGATAAAAGCAGCATGCAGGCGAGTGTTCCGTGGGATGTTCTCACCACTATATATATATTTTTTAAATAACGAATACATTTTCTGCGCATGAATTTCGAAAATTTTAACAAGTAAAAACGTTCTTATCCCCTAAAATTAAAATAGGCTGGGTTATATTAGTATAGTATAAGACCGTATCTTCAAATATTTGTTCACTCTATACTGACTTGAGTGCAGCATAATATACCAAGACAAAAAACACATTTACATAAAGACTTTCTATTTTTCAAGCATCGGCTGAGTTCGACGTTGATGGCGTTGTCGCGTAAACTTTAATGAGTCTATTCGGGGAAAAATGCTTTTCTGCCCAACTCAACAGCATAGGACACTGGTAACTAAGTGTAAAGCATTGTGTGTGCCCTAATATATAGGACTTGTGTAGAGGAATATAGTAGCGGGCATTCAGATGATACATACTGAACCGTTTTACCTGCCGGAGAACATTTGTCTGTCTGAGAGAGTATTCGTACAGCTTTATTGAAGAGACTATTATGTTAAATATTTGATGGTCTGAATTTACGCGCATGGGTGGTGGGTGGGGGGCTTTCATGTATGCAAACAAGCAACAATGAACTGTAAACATTTATTTTACATTTCCCACAATTCGTACAAATCCAAATCATCAAATATTAGACAACCAAATGCAACTATTACACAGCAACAGCTTACCTCTGTTATTTACCCTATTTAGAAGCATACATGCATTCGGCTTTGACAAAATTAATGCGCCGAAATGGATATTGACTGCGTTTTTCTAAAAATATCGTGCGTGATACTTACTGTCTCGACACTTAACATTTATTAGAAAAAATCGACAAGCTACAATGTATTTGCAACAAACACAGGTTGTAGTAGTTTTGGTGAACTCTTTTTCCAATTTCAAGTTTATATTTATTTTTATAATAGATGATTGCCAAAAATAAATGCTGTATAACCCTCTAGGCCTTTTTACAGATAAAATTTCCTTTTTAATAAATATATCTCTGTAACAATGAGTGTGTTTTTTGATATAACATGTGAACTTTATTTACCCGATTGTAATAAAATATTCAAATTACTAATTTTAATCTTTTCTGAAGCGCCCTCTGGTGATGAAATGATGTGATTTAAGGTCATTCACTTTGGAAAGCGTATGTAAATATGGGTCACACATCAGCATGACTTGGAGTGATGACAGTAGCAAAGATATTTTGATTTGTAGGGGACCACATTTATTACTACTCGTGACAACCCTAGTTTTTTCATTTAACTGGTAAGAAGTGTACTTTATAAGTTATGATTTAAATTTAATGTATACTGAATCATTAAAATATCTCTTATTTTGATCATGAAATGCCTTTAATTTATGTAAGCATGCTCTTCAAAAACAGTAGACTTTGAAACTCATTTTGAACTACCTCCGTAGTTGGAGCTCCACAAAAGATTATATTCAGAGTACATCAGCTTTTGAGTGCAATGTCTGGTCAGATTTTACCTTTACAAATTACTGAATGGAAAAGACAGTGTCTAGTAATATAATACCATAGATAAGACATTCACTCGTCAAAAATCAGTGAAAATAAAATCAGTACAAAAACACCCAAAATGTCTATTCAGCGAAATTAATTCCAGCTAAAATAAAATATTTAACAGTATACTACATTAAAAAATATTCACATCAAATGAAGCAGAGCATCATGGGAATTCTCCAAAATGATGAGTGGCTAAGCCACATCAATAATGCTCGTTATTCACCCTTTCTATAAACTTCTACAATTTATAACATGTTTGTTCATGGCATTATAATCCTGGACATTACTTCTAAGAATTGTACTTTCTGTGTACTATCAAAATGTTTTGTGCAAATTCAAACTACCTGTAACAATACATTTATTAGCAATCAGGGTCTTTTCTAGAAAAAAACTGCAAGAGGGAGCACTGCAATTCAGCAAGTGGGGAAATAGGGTTTTCCCTACCAGGGTGTGGAGTTTTTGATAATTCTAAGTTAAAATGGAGCATTTTATGGCCTCCTTGGGGCCAAAATTACTATCAGACAGGTCAATCAGAATTTTATGGTTGCCAGAGGATCTGCTCCCTAGGGTAAAGGGGTGCTGCGTCTCTGTTCAAAAAAATCCCTGAGCAATTGTCTCACCAAGGCAGTATCAGTTTTGAATATGGCACCTTGTACAGAAAATATAACAATGCTATGCATACATTGATCACACTTTGTACACGAGTTGTGACTCATAAAATCATGAAACAAATGAGAAATGTAAACAATAATGAAGTTATTTATTGCTATTTTGACAAATTACAGTCAATTATTTGGTATACAAATTACACTGGAGGCATGATAACAAGTCCCCAATTGCAGTAGAATACAAGTTGTTACAACAGAACTCTCAGTTCTTTCATGCCATTCTATTTTCAATATCAGTGACCACAAGACAAGAGTCTTGATTGGAAACATTCCCAGAAATCCAATTCAAAAGTACATGTTCAAATAATGGTAACATAACGCAAACCACAATGAAGCCTATTGTAAATTGAGATGAGAATATTTTTACAGCATAATTAGAATCATTCTTCGAGTTCTCTGCCACAGCTGTCGGCTTTTTGTGTGGTTTATTTCTGTGATGCCCAAAAGCGGAAATAATAATGTTATGAAATAAATATTTTACATTAAAACAAACTAATAAAATCCAATGGGTTGGGGAAATCAACCCAAAAAAACTTTTTAACGCATTATTATACGGAGTTAAGAAATTCAGATAAAATTAAGTCTTTCGTCTTGATTCAATGACAAATCGTGCGAAGACATACAATTATCGTAAAAGTATACAATACTACGTAAAAATTATTGCAGTGTTTAGATTTCATTTCATGGTTTAAATGAGCCAATGAAAATGCTCAGCGGGTCAATGACGATGATTTTATTTGTTTAAAAAATTTAAAAGCATAGATATATTGATATATTAAAATAATGTAGGCAGAGCAGTGGGCTTATCGGATTGATGAACGCATAAATGAATTTGTTGTTGATTTCTTGCCGCTCGCCAAGGTCTTTTCTTTCTTTTTGTGGGCATCAACTTCAAAACATTTCCACAACCGCAATGTCTCATCGGCAGCACCAGATACGACCGTTGTGCCATCGGGACTGAGAGCCATGTGTAGAACTCGAGATGAATGACCTACAGTAGAAAGCAGATTAACTATGACAGTCGACGATCCATACAAATTAAAATGTGACCTAATTTTCACACAATTAGCATAACACATCTTTCTTTTTGTCATTTATATATCTAAAGATTCTGTGGAATTTGTACTTGGAGGGTAAAGTTGGCCAAAACTTCTTAGAAATAAAATAAATCTGTACACAGCATGTTTTGTATCACTGTTCGCCTAAGCCCAGTTAAATACAAATAATCTGGTGAACAAAGGGTGCAATAATACTTCACTAGATCATACTTAAAATACAGTGAAAAAAAAACATACCCGGTACATGCAATAAAGAGCTACAACTAGAACTCTGATCATTCCCAAATAATAACAAACAACCAACCTGTTAATTCAGTAACTTTTGTCATGGTAGGATATTTCCAGATGATCAACTGGTTATTAGCAAACCCGTGCGCCGATATCATTTCTTTGTATTCCTTGGACCATAGTATTGCACAAACCTAAAGAAGACATTAACAATGTGTTTGTAAATAACTCGCACATACATACAGATGTGATGTGAAACCAGGGTTACCAGATTTTTTTTTTATTAGAAGTAGATGACGTAAAATGACAGGTGTTTCTATGGTCAAAATAAGCGACATTTTGATGATCCAGTGTACAACAGTTGTAATGTCTTCATATCCAATAGAAAGTATTGCATGTGTTGGATCATCAATTTATTTACACATATACTTTACATAAGTGCATGCACATTAAAGGAAATATGATAATAAAAGTATGATAAAACTTGCTCTACAGCAAAAAAAACCAGGTAAAACACACATCACAACAAAAAGCAGCCAGCTTGATTTTTTTTAATTTAACAAGGTCAAGGGTAAAATTAATGTTATCACGTGTATCATTTCAAAAATTTGTAGCGTTACTGTACCTGAGATTTGGTATCCACACTATTGAGGCAGACACCACTATTGACATTCCAAAACCTGATGTGTCTATCTGCAGTACCACCTCCGCTGGCAAGAATACTGGGTTGCCATGGACACCATGATACAGCCTATGGGGAGATGAAACGCACAGTAAGTTGTATTCAATATCGTGAAATGAGCACACTCAGGATCACATGAAAAATACAGATTCTTTTATTGAGCAGTGATTACATTCATCCAACCAACCATGTATATCCCAGATTTGTCTCAGATAATACGATGTAAACCTATTAATTTTTAATGCGAGAAATTAAATTAAAGAGAAACTTGCATTATTTATTTTGTCAAAAGACCTAACATTGCTCCACAACATTTGTTGACATTTGGACAATTATTTATTTAGCGATATACGACCGCATTAAAACGCGATAGTCGTCGCGCTGCGCATGTGCGAGATATATGGGTCTCATATAAACAAAGATGACGACTTTGACTGTTGCGCAGATCAACGAGTACGAACTGAGACGTTTTAAAGCTTTAATTAGACAATTTCCATGTGATTGGAAGGTATCGAAGGAGTCACCGTCGGTAATCAGTGCAAGCCACGCCCAGGTCAAACCTCATACTTGTGATTTCCATTTGAAAAACGCATTGGATTGTGGGATCAATGTTTATCAACACAATGTCGCACATGCGCAGCGCGACGACTACCACGCTTTAAAAAACAGACGTACCTTCACTGCTGCCTGGTGCTGTGTAAATGTATGTAACGGAGTATTGCCAGAATTGTCAATTGACGCTTGCCAAACATTCAGTAAATTGTCGTTACCACCGCTGGCCAGATGCCGCCCATCAGGAGACCATTCAAGGCCACAGACTTCTTGCGTGTGGCCGGATAACGTAGCTATGTGATGGTTGGCGACTCGGACATCGTGGTGATGTATGTTACCACTTCGTGAACCACTGAAGAGAAAAAAGGAAATTCATGTCAGTGAAATTGACTATATGTACAATGAATGAAGAGCAGTAATGTAACATTTGCTTTGCTGCAAGAATTATTTAGTGCAATAAGAGAAATTTGAATCTACAGAGACATCCATCAAAGTAATGATTATGAATTCTGTAAATTGCATAGTCACTGTAGTTTGCTATCAACGAAATAAGTGAAATTAATCTCCTAGACTGGGGGCCAATAATACACAGCAAATAATCAATGGCACTATTACAGTGCATGTTCAGCTTTTATCAATTTGATATTTTCAGCGTGCCATATTCAAAATTATTCAGAATAAAAATTTCTAAACTTTAAATTCACACAGTGACATGCACTAATGCAAATAAGCAACCCACAGGTAACACAGAGTATCACAATTTCAGCATAGCACAACATAGATACACTGTAAATGTTTACTAAATAGTTAAGTTTTATGAATGGTGTGGTAACTATGGTAAACAAGTTTTAGCAGCAAATAACATACCTGCTAAGAATAAAGGAATTCCAGGAAAGAGCACCGACTCTAGCGACATGACCAGTCATGTTACGCAACCGTTTACTCTGTGCAACATCCCATAACTGAAATACAAGTTACAAATCGAGTTGAGGGGGGGGGGGTTCATTTTTATAATAATTGCATATACACAGTACATTCATTACAAATGGTATTTATTTCCCCCATATTTATTAACCCATCTGTCATTTTTTGTAAAGCTACATATACAATGCACAAACCAGTGGAAAAATAAAATTGTTTGGGAATATTGAATCTTCACAGCTGGGTAGAAGTTAAACTAAAAAAAAAAAATGTTATTCCAGGCCAATGCGAGGACCAACTTAGAAAACTTTTGGAGTGTCACCAGCCCATTGAAGTAACAATAGCAACATTACCTGGACCTCCCCGCTACTGGTTCCCACAGCCAGATAATTTCCTTCTTTAATCCACGACACCGAGGAGACATAGTCTTCAGGATTCTCTACCTGTAATAACTGCTGGATTTCACCATTACTGGCATTCCAAAGGTAGACATTACCAGCAAGGGCTACAGCTAAATGGTTATTACAGCTCCAATCTAGTAAATTTAAATCTGAAAAAAAAGACATAAAAAAAAATATGTCAATATAAATATTTCATTGGAATTGGTTAAAATTTAAATGTTACACGGCTGTGTACCTGACATCGAGATGAATTAATTGCAGGGCTTACAATGGGAAAATTTGTTTAAATGTTTTTATCCTACAGCATCGAGCGTTTACATGCGACCGGAATCGCTTCCTTGCGATGTGCTGTCTTTGTGCATACTTTATGGTACCCTCGTAATAAACTCATACTATATTGAATAGCCTGGAATGGGGTTACTAGTGATAACATGATATACCTAGCACACAAGGTGAGCCTAGTTACAGTATTCAATGCTGGAGTTTCCAGCTAAATGTAGCTTACTGTACTGAATAGAAACATGTACTTGTATGCATTGCTGCACCTCCTCATACCCAATAAGATTGCAAATAAAACCAAAGCAAAGTGACTTACAGTAATCATCCAATATATCTGGGGCATCTAAAATTCTTTCTGGTACTTGAGGTATGTGTCGCACAGTCTTTCGACATGAACCAGGAGTTTTACTTTGGCTGTATAAGACTCGTAAATTATTTTGATAACCTGCAAAATATAGGGAATAGGATAAATATGTATTGTGAAAAAAGAAAGATAAAACAGAGCAAAATGATAGAAAAAGAACAATTATGAAAGAACAAGAACAAAGCATGCATATTAATTAATTATACACTGATTATAACAAATTTCATAATTTGCCTTTTTTTGCAAATTATTCACATTCCTTGCGCAAGCTCAATCTGGACTTACCAGACTCAAAAAGACACATTTTTGCTCTTGGCCTAATTATAAACAAATAACATAATAACACTTGAAAAAAATAATCCACTGTTAAACACTAGTCTACTAACATAGCACATTCTGATTCACGATAAATTTGGTAGTGGAATGAAGTGGAACAAGCAGAATTGTTGAAAGCCCCTCCCTCATATGAACATAAACTAGGTAAAGCATTATAAAAAATCGTAGCAAAACTTCAAAGTTTATACCTTCTGGAGCTTGTGGTGGCTTTGATTTATAAGAAAGTATTTTAGACTGTAATGCATTTCCATTGAGGTTCTCCGCCATTGTCTTTTGGTAGTCTTTCTTCGAAGGGCTAAGAGTATCATTTTCTATATCCTTTTTGGACTCATTGAGGAGTTTGTAATGTCCCAAATCAAAACTTGTTGTGCTGCGTGAAGGAATGAAGCGATCCCCTGAGAGAGTCTTAGAAGGGGTCTTCGTTTTTCCTGGTGTCTTTCCTATAAATAAACGTGATATAAAAACAATACCGGTAAATGCAATAGTAAAGGTTGTGTATTATACATTGTCGTGTGTGAAATGAACAGGTTGCAGGTTTTGTATTTCACAAAATATTTTCTAGAAATTGTTTTCTAGATTATGCAATATTAAATATTATTAGACACTGGTGGAATACTTCATTTTAGCTGGAATTAATTATCGCTGAAGTATTTTTACAGTATATGAAACATGCATGTGAGGTTACAATAACCCTACCCTAAAATTAGTTTGACCGAAAACGACAAAAATTACAAAGAAAAGTTTATTCTTGTCCATAATTTATCCTAAATTGGAATATGTTATGTGTTGAAAAATAGCCTGGAATCCAGTACACTCAAGAATGGCATGGTGAATTGAAATGTAGTGGGCACAGAATTCTTTGTCATCATTGCTCGCCTGCACATACCATCCATGCACATACTGACCCTTAGGTTGTGCTAGTCTGATAGTAACACGCTTCACATACCTGGTGTTTTTGTCTTTTTACTACCACACGGTGTCTTGGGCGTTTTTGATGTTGGTGTTTTTACTGTCATACTGTTGTTAAACGACCTGTTTGATGTTTTCATCGGTGTACAGCACGTTGATGTGTTCATGGAAGTGTTGCAGCTACTAGCTTCTGCAGCTTTTCTCTGCCACCTCATGGCTGGTCCCCTTGTTGGTCCGTCAAGTTTTAATAAACTGTTTATGTCGTTTTCGAAACTGAGGTGCGCCATTGTATTCTGATGAGAAAATTAAATACATACATAAAATTTCAGTAGCTCATTGCTAGTACTAGTAGTAGTAGGGGGCCGTGGTTTGACGACACCATATTGGATCTGGTTTTTAACGGATTAACAGATAGCGTTAGAACACGGTTACTAAACAACCGTGGTTAGAATAATCTACACAAATGAACTTAGAGAAATGAACTCAGTAAATGAAAATTGTATTCTCTGGTGCTGAACAGATAAAAAAAATCCCGAAAGACCAAATATAACATTAGAAAGCCTTCATAAAACCATAGTATTGGGTATTAATATACCAAAACAAGCCTTGTAAAAGCTGGTTCCGTGAGGACAATCAATTAATTGGTTTTCTTTTCGAATTAATTTCGTTCGTCATGAGACTTATCCGTGAAATAAGCTCACTCACCTTATAGTTTATGATATTTCACCCGTTTTCGGTAGTTAAAAGTCAGCTTAGATTCCAGGATATCATTTAGTACCTTCAGTCACAACGAATCTTGGGTCAACACTGAAGAATAACAATGATGTTTCATTCATTTGAATTTCCCAGTTATGTTCTGTGTTCTGATTGGATTCCCTGCATAACGAACCTGTGCCTGATTGGTCGAACCCTTCGCCTCTTCCAGTTAAAAAAATGCCCGGTCGTCGTCATAGCAACAAAGTAACGCGAGAAAGAAACGATATCGTGATCCAACATGGCTACGATGTATTCTAATTTGGCCGTCGCTTGCGTGTGTTGTTTCGGAATTTTTGCGATAGCAAGTACAAATAACGACAATGACGCATACTCCTATACCGTGACTGACATCTCCGGTAATGAAGTTTCTCTCGAAAAATTCAGAGGAAAGGTAAAAGTTGGCTAAAAAAAACTTACTTACTTTCATTCATTCGTAGATACATTGACATTATCCTAACCAAAACGACGCGAAATCATGGCTAACACTAGCTGCAACTGCAGCTAGGCTAACACATATGTCTGTATTGTTTTTTTCGACTGTGGAGAATTATTCACATAATTTGTCCAGCAATAGACTTGTGTGGTAAAATCCAAACCAATCAAATGAAATGATCCCTGCTTCCGGGCTGGGTTTTTAATATATTTTAATATATTTCAATCTATTTCATGACTCACCACAGGGAGCCCAGGAACTAGATAGATAGATAGATAGAATTTTTTATTTGGAACGTACCAATGAAAACTTGAGTAAAGTCCAAAAATAACAATAACAAAACAAAACATTCAGAACAACAAAAACTTTCAGTATTAATACATATCAAGAATATAGAAAATAAATTTTGCAAAAATGCTAAGAATGAAAAAATCATTGCTTGAAACAATAATAGGAAATAATTCATCCATGCTAAAATCTTCCAGCTTTGGGGCATAGATGTATAAAGGAATCTAGATCTTTGATTTGACAATTATTACAATATAAAATGTAATGTTTCTCATCCCCTACTTCATTGCATTCATGGAGATTACATAGCCTGTTTTCCTTCAAAATGCCTTTATGTCTACCGGATTCAATGGGAAGAAAATGTGCAGAAG